CTATAAAGGACAGCTATCGTGTGCTACATGACATCACCGATTTTTTCAACTGATTGATACATGCACCGGTTCGCGCAATGTATTTTTACCTTACTACTTGTGTTTTAAGGTTTTATGTCATATGCTTCCCTGCTTAAGAAAATCACTGAAGATAAAATTACTAAGCTTTACGTTTGAAAACTAATATTTTTCACATACGATGGCCTTATATAAATTAAAATATATTTGACTTTGGACATTCGGACAATCCAAAAACTGAAACCGGAACACGAATAAACTTCACTCCCTTGAAGGTGATTTTTAAGCGGGACAGAGTTATCTGTAACCAAGTAACCAAGCAGAACTAGCTAAAGAATTTAAATTTATATTTACTACGAGAAGAGAAAGAAGAGTGACGTGAGTAATGGGTCTTAACTCTTGAACCTTGCCTCTTATGGGAGGGGAAAGCTGTGTCCAGTTGTGGGCATTTCATAGGTCGAAACGTCGACGAAATGTGAATTTCAATAAAGTTAAAAAATAAATCGTTGTATAATTTCACTTATAGCTAAATCAGACAAGAGCGATGAACGAAATAAAATAAAATAACGCTTAATTTTCATTATTTTTTTAGCCTATAATTAGATTTCCTCGAATCCGACAAATAGTGAAGACGCCAACGCGACACTGACGTTAAAAAAACAATGATAAAGTTATTACGAATTTGCATATCCCCTCAGCGGCCCACGCAACTTCTAAATAAACGTCTCTATAAATTGGGCGAGCCATCTTTCATCTCTTTTCAACACGATTAGATATTCATGAGGCGCCGTTGGGTCCGACCCATCTCTCTTTATTCGGTTTCTGTATTTCCCTCGCATGTAAACAGAAAGTTGTGTAACTCAAATGTAATATGAATCTATAATGCATTACTCTGTGCCCTAATGGATATTTGTTTAATCGTTATTTTCTGGGGTAGAAGCACTTGTCTTGTCTCAAGTACCACCGCTAATGGGGTCCTCTGATAGTGCAGGGACAGTTATATGGAGGCCATTCTGAAACAGCGATGATATTTAAGTATTTTCTGTAGTTTACGCGAGTTTTAAAAACAACACTTTCCTTTAAACGTGGAAAAAAATAGTTTTTTTTTTAAATATTAACTATGTTAAGACGTCTCGAATGATTTGTTGCAGTCGTGGTCGCGGGAGGGCATGCTGCAAAGCATCCGAAACATCTAGCAATAGCTAAAGTAAGTTTAAAATTAGTGAACTCAAAATATTTCGTGTTTGAAACCATTGCATTAAAACAATCAATATTATTATATAAAATGATAGTGTCGTACTTTATTAGAAAGCATAAAAACTTGTTAAGAGTGATATTTTTTTACGACTTATGTCACTAGTTTCATACAGATTTCACATACTTACAGTTTATTTTGATATTATTTTTGTGCTCTTAAGAATAAAGACGTCGGAAGATGGCTACGCGGTGTAGCAGATATATCGTACAATATCTCCGTAGCAATTCTACGAATAACGTAGAAGTGTGCTACGACAAAATTGTATATTTTAGGTTTTAAGAAGCTTGTTTAGGAAAACAATTCTAATTTTATTAAAAAATTTTTACTTGTCCATAACGTTTTTATCGCTTGTGTTCAAACAGTATAAACTATATAATTTGAACTTATAGATTAAACATACTATTGCCCAAAACTAGAGTCATCCATTTGACCTATAATTCTTTCGAATCTTAATATACTTACCTTCTATATAAGTTGCTGTACTGTCACATTATAAATCTATTTTATCCCATTAAACATAGAGTTTTGATAACAATGTTGCTTTTTTTTTGTTTCAGGACATGTTGGTTTCCTTTCGATGTTGGTGCACAACAGACATCGAACTCCAGTTTCTACATTGTCGGTTACTTATACCACTAGAGTAACTGGTTTTTAAAAGGTACGTAAAAATTTTGCTACCAGTAGAAGCAACCGGTGTAACTAAAAATCTTTAGAGGTATAGTTTTAACAGTGGACGCCGAGTAGCTGAAACTGATATAGATCTGAAAGAAAACGCAAATATTTTTTCAAAACTTTATTATTTTCTTTATAATGTTTATTATACACATAATTTATATCGTGCTGAAGCACTATATTATACGTACAACAAATCTCAATACTATTGTTATTGTATACAATAATAAACTTTCACATAATAATAACTTGTTATAATACTAAAGGATTTCCGATTTACACAGTCGTAGATTACCGAATACTTATTGATTTAAACACCGAGTTAAAAAGAACTATAATAATTATTACGCCTAACATAGACACTTGACTTTGATATCTATTTCCAGTTAATAAGGTGCATTTTGCACGATCAACAGTCGTTTTAGTTTCATAAATTATTCAGTCGTCTATGTTAGGCTTTTATGTGCCTCTTCCGATATATAAATAGCCAAGATGCTATCTTAGAAAAGTGCATGGAAAATTGATCATTATGCACAGTATAAAAGGTCTTATTTTTCGATGAGAAGGCTTGTCTATCTTTATATCGATTGTTAATTTATTTATTGACAGTATCTGTCGTAAAAGCACTTTTAAATCTATATTACAATATACAGAAAAGTAGGACGGGGTATGCCTATAAAAATAAATGAAGGTACGTCACTAGACTTCATTTCATTCGGAAAATAATTACCCTAAGATTTGCGATAATATTACGTCTATCGGAATTTTGTTGAGGAAGATCATTAAAAATTTAAACAGCGTTATTAAAATTAATACAAATTACGTTTGTCTAACTGTATAATTTAACTATGTTAGCTATCCTAGACCTATGTTACACATATATGTATGTACAGACTTTAAAAGCACATGATTCGAAATAAAAAAATACGAGAGAGCCAGTAAAAAGTCATCTATGTATATTTACAACATTTACGACATGTCTGTGATCGCTACTTACATATACAATGTACACTTAGTTTAAAATAAAGCTAGATAGAATGATTCGTATATCATTTTAACGTAGTATGTACATGCATTTCTACTCTTCTGTTAACATAGTATTGTCAGCTGCATTCCAGATGTATTCTAATTTATCTTCTTTTAAATGACGCTAGAAATTAACAATTTTTTGGAGACAACATCGTAATTTTTACTCGGAATTTTTATGTGGGTTTTATGGCTATAGTATTTTATAGGTATGTTTTAATTTGAAAAACATCAAACATTATTAATTTTTGGTACTATATATAAGTTCTCTAAAAATATGTTAAACAGAATCAACTGCAAAAAATAGCGCTTTACTGAGCAGCAGAACTGTGTATGGACATAGTGTAACAATATATAGAGAGCAATTTATGAAATATAAAAAGTTTTTTTTAAAAGGGATTCTTTAAAAATTAATAAAGCCTTGTAAATTGAAGTGTAAAAAAAGTGAAGAGAAGATTCATACGATGTTGTCTTTATGACTACCTGCCTTCAAAGACATTGAAACCTGAGAACATAATCGTACCGATACGACTTAGTATAAATATATACAGTTCTATGAAACAAGCGCTTCAGCTTGTTTAGGGAGTTAATTATATAGTACATAACACAACCCACTATGAAATAGCATAAATATTTTGCTGTCTGCACTGACCTTTAGACACTTTGATTAGATTAAGATTTAAAGCGGAAATCGAAAAACTTAAATGTGTACCAGCATTATTTAAAACTAAATTTATAATGTTTAAATACAACAATTTAACGGTTTAAAACGCGATATACATTAGTAAAACTTATTTGAAAAGTATTTTATCAACGGCCCAACGTTTCGACTGCTGAATATATAAGCGTTTTAAACCGTTAAAGTGTATTGATTTACAAGGCTAATAAAAAGCAACTATAATTAATTCTCTTTGCGTTATGGTGCTTTTCAAATAAATTAAGCGTTTTCAATAGCTTTATTTTATTAGCTTTGTACCGTTTGATTTCTACTTTAGTTCGAGATAAGCTTCCATTATTTTTTCCATTAACGGCATCATTAAAAACCCGTTTATTATTTGGTAAGCACGCTATGCCATGACTTCTATAGATCTTAGCTCTGCACTCGTTTCGTAACGTTACGTAATAACTTCGAAATTAGAACATTTATTTTCAAACTATTCTTTAAACAGGTATTACAATCTTATTGTTAAAAATATTAACAATAAAAAAACTTACAGTAAGTATCTGAATAAACACAGCACAAGACAATGTAAAGAAGGTAAGATTAATGTAAAAATAAACATTTTAAATGCAACACAAAAGGTCAAAAGGTCAACACAGCAGTTACTAGAGACTCTAACAAGAATGACTATACTAAGCGTCACTGTACTTTTTCCCAGTACACACCTAACTTATTTTATGTAACAATGTGTGAAAGTGAAAAACACAAATATTACAAAAATATCAAATTAAAAATGCGTCTTTGTATATCTTTTCACATTTCACATTAGAACTAACACCCCGGGTTATAGACAAATAGACAGATAGACATAGACAAATAAAAAAAAAAAAAGTGTTTTTCAATTTAATATTAAGCTTAATAAGCCTTTCAAAAGTATTTTTTTTTATTGAAAAGATTTGGGAAATCAGCATATCATTGTTTGTCGGGCTGTTCGGCCAACGTGAGTGAGAAGAGGTAGTCGACGTTTCGCCATCACGAGCGGACGGCATCTTTAGCTTCTAAATTGCTAGAAAAATTAATAAATGAATAGCTAGAAATTCTTCGAGCAATTGAGGACCTAATGTCGCCCGAAAAACAATGATATGCTGAACGATGGCCGTGAAAGCCGTACACAATTTATTGATCTGAGGAATATTACAAATGTCGGAATAATGTCTCAATGACTAAACAGATGGGCCTCTTCTAAAATGTATTAAGACCACAATCTATGTCATCCTTAGGTGTGTACGCGGGTTTCATACATTACCACTTAAATAGTAAATCGTGTTGAGGTATACCTATTTACAGTGTGTTCGCTAGTAGATGTCAAGACACGGCTAGGAACAGCGTCGAAGCAAGTAGAACGCAGTGGGTATGCGGTGAGAAGGATTGCCCGCCGCGCTGCATCGCCGCCGGGTACTCACCTGACAGAGGAAAAATAGAGTTTGCTTCTATGGCAAACATTAAAACTGCCTTTTACTTTACCAATAGTAGTAGTCTATAAAATAGGGTATTGATACATACAAAGACATAATATATACATTCGTCTGATTTTATAAAGTTTTCAAATCAGTGTTTTTATTTTTTTATTTTAGTAGTATATACATTTTATATCTCTGTAATGACCTAACCCTCTTTATTCTTTAGTTGGTATATTTATTATTTAAAAAAAAACTTTAATTAAAAAAAAAAAAAAACAGTTTTATAATTCAATAGACGATCTATTAGGTACTATAATATAAATATTAGACCTATAGCTGTGTCAGCGACTTCGTCTTAGTAAAATAGTTATTTATATCTATTCTTCTCTATAATTTTAAGTTGCTATGCACGACGTCGTCCGCGTCCCTTCGTTCTAGATAGTTACACTTAAAAGATAGACATAGACAGTATCTTCGCTTGTATTAGTTACATTTTTAAATTGGAACCAGTAATTCCTGAGATTAGCGCGTTAAAACATACAGACAAACAAACAAACTCTTCAGCTTTATATGTTAGTATAGATAGACTTAATGTAATTATACCTCAAAATCTTGTAATGTTTGAAAAAACATTTGTCACTAAATCAATCTTAACGAAGCAGAAAGCATTTAAAAAAGATTGAAAATGGTATACAATAAACGTGTCTGACCTGTTTATTGGTATTAGTCAGCATTAGGTCAAGGAAAGTCAAAGATACAGACGGACTCATGTCAAGGAAAAACTTGAAATTATCGAGAGCTTTTAAAAGTTTTCTGAAATTTTGAAATGAAAATCAAAGAAATCAATTATAATCGTTTAAAAAACCTTACATATATTTTTATGCACTTTGAACCACTTAAATACTAATCATGAGGTGCCAAGTTAAATAATAATAAATCGAGAAATTATATAACATAGACCGATTAAATGTAATAATGTAAACTGTCCTGTAGTCGACGCGAGTGGTAAACATTTAAATAAAACACTTTAACTGTTAAAAACGCAAAATATATTAGTTAAAATTATTTTAAACTACGGCCCGATGTTTGGATGCTTTGCAGCAGCCATGGTCATGGGAAGACTAAAAATGGAGGGTGTCTCTTATGTCAAAGTAAAAACTGCTACGCTAGCGCCATCTGTTCTGTACTTGACAAACTAATAAATTGAAGCAAACACACCTCTAATATGACAAGTGGTGTTATATTTTCAAATTACTTTCTCGCTAAAATACACTGCTTTTAAACTGTTTACTGAAAATGACTATTTACTTGACAGTAAATGAGGAAAAGCTTTGATGAAAAATAAACAGCTAACATTTCATTTGCAAAGTTTGCCTCCAAAACTAGGACTCAATTCAGCTTGGAATAATCTGGAATCGTTTACACGGCTGATAGAGTTGGGAAACTAAGCCTGGGAAGTATTCGAGCAGAAATTGTCGCCAGACGCTTGAACTGTCCAAATTAATGAACGTACAGCACAAGCGATGGATAACAGATCATATGAGTTCGAAGAAAAGTTAATGAAAATAACTCACATTGAACTGTAATGAAATAGAGATGTGTACTGCGCGATAAAATATAACGATGAAGTGATTATAGTTTAAAAGTATCTTTACTTATCGTAAACGTCAATTTTTGGCGGGCTCGTGTAATGGTAGCAAAGTATAGATAATAATCAATGGGTCGTGGGTTCGAACCCCACCGGGTTCAACATATTTCAATTGAATTTATTGTTTTTTTTTAACTCATTGGACTTCTGGAAACCTAGATTTATAAATGGGTGTTAGGAATATCGAAATTCCGTTCGAGTCACGAAACACGTCTCCAATGTTTTGCAGTAGTCACGGGGGGACTAAACGTTCGAAACGTGGGGCCGTAGTTTAAATTAATTAAAAATAAGTTAAATAATATTCGCGATTTAAGCCGATTTAATAAAATAAAGTAAAGATAATCTTTACTTTATCTTATGGGGGAAGCCTATTTCCAGCAGTGGACACCGAACGGCTCAAACTAACATAGCACGCAAATATTTGGTCAGCAAAATTTTTGTTCTATATGCTAGTATAGAATATTTTTTACAGGAACTTAATTAGAAATATTATTTATATGTTTGTTCATTAAAATATAAAATTTGTAGTATCCAATAATATAAATGTGAAGTGAAACACTCGATAGCACTTAGCTACAATAAGCTATCAGTTGACGTTAATGAAATTACAAGTGACTGAATATTATGCTTTAATAAGTATATAGTAATAAATAAATTTCTCAGTGACGTGCAGAATGTCACATTTGGTGTTCCTCAAGGAAGCGTTCTAGGCCCAACCCTCTTTCTTATTTATATAAATAACTTGTGCAACTTTAAGCCTCATGATGGTCATGTTTTTACTTATGCAGATGATACCGCAGTTTTATTCTCTGGTCATACTTGGAATGAAGTATGTAAAAGTACTGAACAAGGATTATCTGAGATTGCTAAATGGCTAGATCTGAATCTTTTAACACTTAATACAAGTAAAACGAACTATATATGTTTTAAAATTAGTAATAAAACGCAACCTAAAAACAACTTAAATATTAAAATTCATAAATGCAACATGGAGGAAGTAAATAGGTGCTCATGTCCACAAATACAAAGAGTAGACAACACTAAATATCTTGGTATATACATTGACGACCGTTTATCATGGTACCCACAATTAGAATCGATGTCAAATAGGCTAAGAAAGTTAATTTGGATTTTTAAAACATTGCGGCATGTGACCACCAAAGAACTGCTTAACAAGATTTACATAACCCTAGCAGAGTCAGTTTTAAATTATTGTATTGTGATTTGGGGTGGAGCCGCAAAGACCAAGTTGTTAGATTTGGAACGGGGACAGAGGGGTCTTTTAAAAGTAATGTACTCGCTGCCATACAGATTTCCAACGGAAGAGCTTTACCAACAAAGTGGGTTGCTGTCCGTTAGAAAGCTGTATGTTTTAAATACAATTCTTAAAAAACACCGTACTCTAATTGTTGATAAAGATATTTTAAAAAAGAGAAGGAAAGATATTGTCGACAAGATTGCAGTCAAAACAGCTTTTGCTGGTCGTAACTATTGTGTGCAATCCGTTTATTTGTACAACAAATTAAATAAGCTTCTAAATATATACCCACTCACGCTTCGAGAAGTTAAAATATTAGCTAGCAAATGGTTAAAAAGTGTAAGCTATAATCAGCTAGAGGATATATTGAAGAATCCCAGTTAAATCATCATACATCCTCATTATCAATCACTTTCTCACACACCCATACACATCAAGTCACACATCACATTAACTCACATACTTATACACACACACCAATATTATTAAAAAAAAAATGCATGTTTAATTATTTAGGGATACGGAATAATGTATTATTAAATGATATGGAAGAGCTGGAAACCCTGGCACAGGTATCATTTACTTAAAAGGGTTTCCAGATCAAAAACAGTTTAATGTAAATATGGTTCCTGAATAAATACTTTATTATTATTATTATTAATGATGTTACTTTTCAGTAATGGACTTTAAGTATATAAGAAGTTTTTTATGTATTTAATAGAAACAAAATGGAGGACAATTTACGAGATGTCTTTACAACTAAAAAACCGACCTATTTGATAAAAAAATACTATTAAGATTTGCGTTGGTTAATTTTTGACACATAAAACGTTAGTAATTAGATAACAAAATTGTACTTCATATCAAAATAAGCTAGCGCAAACGCAACTGGGCATATTTCAGAAATAAATTATTAAGTAGGGGGAAGGTCCACCGAGAAGATCAAGAAGGTCTTTTGTGTTAGTCATAGTTGTGAAGTCTCAACTTAGCCTGCATATAATAAGTGAAATTCCGTTTCCCCCGGGCGAGGAGCGAAGAAGAAGAAAAGCAAGTAATTTATTAGACTTCTGTATCCTGAAACAATCTACTCTTTTCCCGAGATTCGAACCTAAGATCTCTCGCTTAACTACGAGGTGGTCTGTTATAGGTATTATTGTAATGAAACATTTATCTCACCATTGAGTACATGTACTACGACGCTCTTCGACTGAGCATTGCTGGGGTTGCATTGATAGGTGCCCGAGTCAGATGGCCTCGCTTGCTGGATGAGAAGGAACGATGTTGTCGTCTCGCCTTTCTCTGTCACTACTGAGACGCCCCCTCGTGGCGAGTCGTAGCTTATTATCTGTATAGAAAACGAACCATTTTAAACCCCTTACGATTTAAATAAATTACTTTAACGGTTTAAAACGCGATGTATATTCCTATTACTTATTTGAAAATTATTTTTAACTACGGCCCGACGTTTCAGATGCTTTGCAGCAGCCGTCACGGGTAGACAAATTGAACTATTATATATTATACATCGCGTTTTAAACCATTAATGTGTTTCATTTCAGTTTGTACTACTCGCGTAAACTACAAAAAGTATCTCTTACCAGTATCACGCTTTAGTGAAGAGTTTAACTATTGTTAGAAGTGAGTTTTTTTTAAAGAAAAACTAGAATGAGTTATGAATATTAGTTATTTGTAAAGACATATTAATGATATTTTAGATTGAAAATCTTTTACGACAAGGGCAGGATATAGGCATCATTGGCATTCCATGTTATTGCTCTAACCAATTGACATGGTAGACGGTTACGACGCGGTAGCTGATTTGGTTATAGTTTCTTGTTATTAAACATGATACCTATATCAACAATAAAGGTTGAAAAAATATGCCACCGTATATTTTCTATTTAATCATTCTAGAATTCTATTCGTACAGAAGAAGCCTCTATTTAGTTTGTTAAAAAAACGATTGTATACGACATGTAAATTAATGTAATTTCGAAAACTTTCCAATTCATTCAAACTATAAAATTCCACGTTAATTACTGTAACATTTATTCGTAACCGAGGTCTATTCATAATTTTCTTTCATCTCGTTTGACTGAGTTCTAAGCGATATCATGAATAGTGCGAACGGTATTATCTGTGGCTGAATACAAAGCGGCCAATAAAATTACGTAGTCCAAAGGATAGACGGGAGATTCACTAGTGCGAACGAAATTGTAACAACTTCAAGGGTTGCCAGTAATTAGGTCAAACTTGTGCATCAGATAGCAATTTGTTAAGACTCATTCTTTTTGTGGGAATTTTTGCATTTTAAATTGTTTAATCTTGTTTTAATTCAATCAAATTAAATATCTTTTCAAATATATAAGACTGAGATAAACCTATTAATATGTTTACATTGTGTAAAAAGGAGTGTTGATTTAGCCCTAAGCGATTCACAATTGTATGGCTCAGCAAAAAAATGGTCACCCCCAGGAATCAAACCTGTTTCGCCCAGTGCGACGCAATACGTTAACGACGATCTTCTTCGCCTTAACCCTTGCGTTGTCAATTTAGAGCAATTAATTATATGGCTTGTCTAATGTTTATTTATATCAAAAGGAACTAGTGTAACAATACAAAACAGAATTATACTCAGGTATGTCGTGGAATGCACTACAAGCAATTTCCAGTCGTACTAACCGCATCATTATGGTTCCAGAAAATGTACGCCGGTGGTTCGGGCGAGTAGAGAACCACGCATGTTAAGTTTATAGTGCTGCCCCGATCGATATACAGCTCCGGCCCGCCAATTATCTCCGTCGTGGGTTCTGCAACAATAGCAACGTTAAAAATACATTCCTGGAAATCTTTGAGTACATATGTTTGTTACGTTGATAACGATACGTCATAGAAATTGATTGATCGTAAAATTAGCATGAATACTAACGTTGAAAGAAAAAAAAGGATTTCGGAGCCATTTGCAAAGCTAGTTGGGTCCTAAGCCGTCATAATTAAGTGCCATTTCCTAAAGCTAAGGTCAAAAAGATCGGAAACCCAAATAGTATTCAATAAAACACTTGTAACTGTTTAAAACGCAAAATATATTAGTTAACTTAATTACAAATTATTTTACCTACGGCCTGACGTTTTAGATGCTTTGCAGCAGCCTTGTCTCCGCGTGAGCCGTGAAGTTAACTAGTGTATTTTACGATTGAAACCGTTAAAATTGTTTTATTTAATTGTGTACTATTTGCGTGCACTGCCGACACCTTTAACGACGAAATATATTTTAAATTTCCTCTAACATGGCCCGACGTCTGTCATGTTGGGGTGGGCTCAGAGGTCTAAAGATGGAGTTGTTAATGGCAAATGTTCTGCAACAATAGCACTATAAATGTTTTCCCATATAGTTACAACAAACCAAGAAATTTAGGCAATATATTTAGAATTTAGGCATTTATATTATCTTGTATTTGTAGATATATATCACCTAGGATTGCAATACAAAAAATAGATAGGATTAAAAATTTAAATAAAACACTTTAATGATTTAAAACGCGATATATTAGTTAAACTTATTTAAAAATGATTTTTGACTTCGGCCCGACGTTTCGGATGCTTTGCATCGGTTGCTTTTACTTTGGCGTCAGAGACATCCTCCATCTTTAGTCTCCCCGTGACCATGGCTGCTGCAAAGCATCCGGAACGTCGGGCCGAAGTCAAAACTCATTTTCAAATATGTTTAACTAATATATCGCGTTTTAAACCGTTAAAGTGTTTTATTTAAATGTGTACTACTCGCGTAAACTATAGACAGTATAGGGTTTCAAATCAAAAGGCAGTTATTAAAATATTAAATAGGACAAAACAACAGGGAGAATAGCGCTATGAAGCAATGTTATTTAACTAACAATTTAGTAATATACAATGAAACCTCTTAGCAAAACATGTAATCTAATAGGTAGCGTTTTTCTCAAAAGGCACAATTACGAGCCTTTGATATTAAATAACGCCACACATCTAAACATATACGTGGAACGAAACCGCAGACCTCTGGTTACATCCAGGGTTTTGTTAACGTGGAGATGTAAAGGAATGTCATTTTATTCCTCACTGTTTTATTAGCATCGTTTCTGAAGAGAGCAACTGTTTCATTGGAACGAAATTACGCGTATTACTTTGTTCTTTGTCTAAAAGTCCCATTAGAATTAGTAGATATTTTTTAAGAATCTCGTAAAACATTATTTATTTGTAACCAATATTTTTTTTTTAACTTGAAATAAAAAAAGATTTTTTTTAATTCCAATCTAAATCGGACTCATTATTTTTTATCATTGATTACAGAAATAAGTTATATTTTACTAACAGATAAGTAATTAAGATTTTTTTTTATTATAGAGGAGAATAGACAAGTGCGGGATTCACTCGATGGTCGGTGAAATATCCCAGCCGTATAACATCTTAACAATCTATTTTGGAAATTTGGAAATACACAACATAAGTCGAAAAGCGATTAAACTTTTCGGTTTTTTCATCTGTGGACGGTGGTTCGTTACCCGGAGGGAATTACGATATTCCTACCATTCAATATCCAGATTTCCAGACGAATAATAAATTGATTAGAAAGGAAGAATGTTGATCTCGGTGGGGTTTGAACTCAGGATCCGTTAGCCATACATTGCTATAGGTACACTAACAAGTCCGCCAAACTTACCTTTCTCAAAATTATTGATAAAATAGTATATACATATGTACATAGTTATCAATTTAACACTTTTAAATAAAACACTTTAACGGTTTAAAACGCGATATATTCGTTAAAGTTTCTCTGTGAGTGATTTTGTAAAATCTTAAGAGAAATAAACCATAAAAATATTTTTTTAACTATTTAAATTTATTTTTTTATAGTTAGTTAGTAGCCGTGATTACGGCAGCTGCAAAGCATCGGAAACGTCGGGTCACAGTTAAAAAAAAACTTTATAATTTAAAAATCGAAAATAAATTGAAAAAAATTTTCGACTCGGGCAGGACTTGAACCGGCATCGTCAGCGTTCCGTGCTGTTGCTCTTCCAATTGAGCTACCGAGTCCTACACCTCATCGTCGAATTTTTTCAACTTATTGATACATGCACCTCTGGCGCAGTGTAATTTCAACCTTAACGCTTCCTGCCCGAGTCGAAAATTTTGTCCATTTATTTTCGATTTTTAAATTATATAGTTCCTTCATGTGCAATAACATGTAAAAAATAATAAAGTTATCAAAAAAAAACTTTAACTATATAAGTTTAAAACTATTAAAGTGTTTTATTGAAACAAATTAAGTGATTAAAACCAAATGAAGACCAATTCTGTAGTGACGTCCAAAGGTGAAAACAAAACCTAAAAGTACTTTATCAATATATTTAGCTTGCTCCAGAATTTGTGATACTTGAATTCCTTTTAGTACCATTACTTTCAACGATATTTTAAAATGTCTCCCGGATCTATAAAGCGTGCATTAAAGAAAAGAGAGTAAAAAATGCAAGAGATTCAGCGCTCGTTGCAAGAATTTAGATATTTTTTTACTGCTGGCAGCGGCGGTTTTATTGCTCGATTATAAACGACTCGCCATAAACATTCTTAACGACAGTGGATTATAACGTGGTTATGCCGATATTCCGACGATATAGGCTTTGCATAATTGATTGAAAAAAGCAGATTACCGAGTACATTACATATCAATACAACTTAGTATCTCGCTAATGATAGTTTTTTTTTATGATAGAGAACATCAAAACCAGATGCGCTATCACCCTATTTTGGCTTTAGATAACTTCACGGCGTTTTTATCTGTGGACAGTGGTTCATGACCTGCACGAAACTTCGATTTTCCTACATTCATCGATTTAATATCCAGATTTCAGAACGAAGTCTACCATGCTTTAGATAAATTATAAATATGTTAAACCTGGTTGGGATCGCACCCACGACTCATTAATTATGAGCTATAAACTGCTACTATTCATTATTTATTACTATTAACTAAAATAATTTGTGTTTTCAACAGTTAAATATGGTTTCTTTGATTTCTATACTAGTAGAACAATTATACGCAATATAGAATATTTTAAATATATACTCAAAGTATAGCTGTCAATATTAAGCAGACAATAACGTGCAATAAGCGATATAATGTTTTTTTTTAATAATATATGTCACTTAGGAGCTTTCACTGCCTAAAATCGTATATATATATTTAGTTTTATCTGTGAAACTATTTAAGGGAATATCTGTACTCTATATATATACATATTTACTTCCTTATAATATGACTCTGTGATATTTCTGTTTGTTTCCTGTTTTCTTAAATAAATATTTAAAGGTTGTCTGATCTCCCTTATGTTTAAAAAACCAACACACGTTCATTTGTTGTTTGCAAGAATTATATTATTACGTTGATGAAACAAACTCTTCAACTGATTTATATTCAACATGGCGGTTGAATAAAGAAAACTTATTTTCAATAATAGTTAAAACTAAATAAAAAATAAGCTTACTAATATATTTCGAGTTTTAAGCTGTTAAAAGTATTTTTTATGTTAATTAATTTTTTTAAGCTATTATTGGAATCTTAATACCTATTACAAAGATTTCTGTTAATATCGTTGAAGATCCTTAATCAAAGAACGGCATAAACTATTCGTAATGGGATAATAAACAAAGTTGCCCCATAAAATACCAAATAAAATAGCAACGTAAAAGTTAGTCTGTGTGTATTTTGTAACGATGTGCGTGTCTTCTATACAACCAAGTTAATTAGTTTTCTTGTTCAAACGAAAACATTTAACTTCCAAGTCAAAAGCGCTTTGTACATTATACAGCGGCAAAATGTTTAAGTCATGGAAAAGGTCAGGGTGAAAGATAAATAGTGGAACTTGGGGGGGACGGGGTCCTATCAGTTTTTTTACCTCAGAAGACCAGCAACTTTTTTTTATCTATAATTTAATAACATTTTAATTGGATAAGCAAATGAATCTTTTGATTTTGAATCGAATCGTTTAAAGACTTACCTAAGTATTTTCACATCCTAAAGATACTTTAAGTACAAGAAAGTGTTGTAAGCTTAGATTAAAATAATTCCATGTAAATAGTGCATGCAAGAGGTAACATAATTAACACAAGATATTAATGTTTCATTAAGACGAGGATTAAGTTTTTTTATTAAAAAAAAAATTGTCAAATTATAAATTTAACGTTTGAATTCATTTTTCAACGATAAAATGCCTACATATCTAGCTACAATTTTTAAAATTACAAGCTGTGTAATAGCGAATTGTTTAATAGTTTATGTTACTATAACCAGATTATTAAAAGAAACAAAAAACGTCAGTGAAGAAAATACGAAATACTTCATCCAAAATACACAAAAGGGTATATTTCTGTGAAAAATTGATCTCGGATGAGACAGGCAACGACCCGCTGAAGAACATTATTCTTGGGTTCTGTGAAAACTATTTGTAACGTCTTCTTAAAATAAAACATTTGTATGGAAGTTTGAGCTTTTCATAGGGAATATACAGAACTAAGATTCAATATGGTAATTGAAATTAACAATTATGTGACCAAGATTTTCACGTCGGAGATAATAGCGGATTCATAAAGAAAAGTGACCGAAATATTATATCAAAGGATCAACTTTTTTGTCAAATTCAGAAGGGGCGAAAATATTTCTGCGTTGGTTTCGGATTCATTTCCAGTCTAGTAGTTGATCAGACTTCTAAACAATGTATCGTTTCCCCAGGATTCGAACCCAAGACCTCTCGCTTAACGCCATGCTAATCAATACGTTTAACCATTAATCTATAGGTGAGTAAAATAAGTAGTGTTTTTAAACTGTAATATTTTTGGGATCATTTTTTAATGAGAAAAATTATTAATTTCAGACTGTGTGGCGAAAGTTTATCCTATTCAGTCGGTAATCAATTAACCGGTATTTTAAGTGCACTGACGTTCAAATTAGCTTTCTTGACTACAGCTTCCGTTTCGACTTCCACTGACAGTATAAAATAAATCGTAGCCACAAGAATAGGAAATATTGATTGTTCAGTGTACAAATGTATAAAAGTAATTTGATAAAAAACAAAGTGTTTTAAACAAATGATAGTAATTCATGGCTAATAATCATAGGGACAAATTGTCGATACTCCCTCGGTCTTGGTAGCTTTGTCGGGAAAATTTTCTGAATCTGAATTTGTCTGAATTTTAAGTGGGTTGTAGCAGTTAAATTACATCCACATAAGAAGATACTCCTGAAATAGCGTATCTGCTTTTCGCTTTTATTATTTGGATTTTTTAGTACCTTTAACAATATCTCGACAGTGTAACTTGTTTAAATGTAAAAATGTTAGAATATTTCACCATGCATTAAATAAACTCCATGATGGTCTGTCATCTTCTATCACAAAAAAAGACTAATTGTTTCTCGTCCTTGTTTCATGTATATATGAATTTTTGAAAACGTGCAGATAATACTCACCGACGACATTTAAATGTATAAAATGGCTCATATGTGGCGTGGTGGATATCTGACATTCGTAGATACCCGAGTCTCTATGCTGCGGGTATTTTATCTGGAACAAAAAGGAAACACTATGACACGACGGTGGCTTAAAAACTATATATTACAAACAAATTTAACTTCAAATCAACACTAGCATTATCAAAATATAATTAAACATAATATTAATTCGGTTCAGTCTAAAATATATATAAAATATTGAACTAAATAAATAAATTGTATAATATGATTCACGACAAAAAACAATATTTTTCATTAATAAAAAGTTTACCTTAGGATGGCAAAAAAAATTGAAAACAAAACTGTTTTTAAGACATTTTACCTCTATAGCAATTTGTAGTGAAAAACTCAATATCTATTTCGGCGTTTTAATTATTTTAATGGGTAGGCTTTTTAACCACAGACTATACAATGACACAATTTCAAATATTGCCATATCTACGATAAAATATTGTAATGCACTTACATCAAAAAACGTAAAAATATTGAATCCAGTACTTATCATAATTGTGTACGGGGAAATGAGAGTTTTATACATATAAAAAGGCGATATTTTTAAAAATGAATGCCTATACATCGTGAACAATGTGTACAAAGACCTTCATTATAATGACAACTTCTGCGCAGCGCTGAAAAAAAAAACAAAAGAACTTCATAGAGACGACTTGTTTCGAATCATATTAACATTATGCAAAAATCCTTTTTCAAATGAACAATGCTATCTTCCGTGAAAATGTAAAGTAATATTATGAAAACAAAAGACAAGTGTTAAGCTCGCTTCATAAATACTAGCTGTTGTACGCTACTCTCCTCGCCTTTTAATAGTGTGAAACGGATTTTTATAGAGATTAGAACATATCCATTTAAATTTATTCCCAACATGCGCATATGTAACAGATTACATTGTTTGTGGTGTAAATGTTTCTTAGTTATTTACACCACAAATACATTTTCATCTTTACGGATTAATGGGATATATAAGTTTGTTAATATAAATTAGTCTTTGTGCCAACAAAGTAAAAGTAAAGAAATGAAGAGATAGAATAGCTTAAAATCCCACGTAATTTTAAGCTTTTTAAATTATTATATAGTGCCTTCATGTGCAATAACATGTAAAAAATAATAAAGTTTTTTAACGATATAGTATCCTTATTAAACTTTAAACCCGTAACCATGAACTCGATAGAAATAAAATTTTAATTTGCCCCCGAACGAATTCTCTAGTTTTAAGTATAAACGAGGATAAGACTTCTTTAATTATACATTCCCCTGTTGCAAGCTCGGCGCGAACAGGGACGTTTGTTGAAATAAAATTTAATTCAATTAGTGAAATGCGGTGCTGTTATTTTAATGGACTTTTCTTAGATAAATTAATTCATTATGTAAAGTTTTTGTACGCCATTTCTCTGCCATGAATTACTTTCTGAGATATACACACAGATGAACCATTTCTTAACTGCAGGCATTTTGCTGACGTCATCAACATGTCATTTTAATAAGAAGAATAACAGTAAACGTTATTCAGTTTACATGTGAAACTTCCACTGAAAAATGGCTGAATACATTTTGATCAAACTTATCAGTTACTTTGTCAATCGTTTTTGTAAGTAGTTGTCTCAACTCTGACGATAGACTCGAAATAAATAGAAATAAAAAATATGTATTGTAAATTGTCACGTTGACATAAACAAGTTGCATACAAGTTATGTCATCACTATGAAATCTATGGACGTACGGTCTGCAAAAAACGTTTACATAGATTCGCAGGAGTTAAAAAATAATAAAATACTAGAAACAACAGTAAATGACACTACCAAAAACTAAAATAAACATTGAGCATTGGACGAATTAAAATGTGTTAGTGTTAGTTAATTTCTTCGATTAACTTCGATCTGACATTTTGAATAGTTTTTAACAACACTGGTTACGAAAGAAATATTATATATAGCATTCTATAATTTTTCACATTTTAAAGTGTAAAATGTTAAACGTTGATAGAGGGGTATGAAAAAATGGCAAATACCTGTAAAGTCCAGTCTTCAGAATGCGGTAGATGTATCGCGCGAAACCGCTGGTCGCTCGTGTAAGTGTATCTCCCAACAGTGAGTAGGTGAATGTCTCTATGCCTCACCCACGACACTTGCATGTTGAGCTGAAACAAAGAAATAGACATTTTAATTTTATTTTCTCATTCTATCTATGACCACTTATACGTGTTTAATAATTTGCTTCTCAAACCTTAGCTCAATATTTGAGCATATTGCCTCTCGTTAAACACTAGAGGACCCGTGTTCAAATCCCGCAAACAATTAGGGCCTGCAGGGCACAATCATCTTATTGACTATCTGCCTGTAAATAATATCAATCAAACGGACTCGGAAATATGTTCATCCCCTTAGCCAGATTCGTTACGTAATTTTTGTATTTTGTAGTTGCATGGAAATAATATATGAATTGGTATTACATAATCCAGGTGTGGAGGCATTTGTGCTGTATACGACTTGCATTTATCCGGGTTTTGAACCCATTTACCCTAGCATACTTGACTAAGAAATAGATTTTGCGAATAAGGTGTATTAAGGTTACGAGAGGTATATTAAAGTAAGTTTACGCGTGTAGTACACATTTAAATAAAACACTTTAATGGTTTAAAACGCGATGTATATCAGTTAAAATAATTTCCAAATAAATTTAACTAATGTACATCTCGTTTGAAACCGTTACAGTGTTGTATAAAGGTATATAAAAGTAACTATTTTTTTGTAGATCGCTTAGCCGAATCTCTTTCGTATTTTGTATACCTTTTATATGTCCAAAGAAATTATTTTTCCCCATACCTCAAAAATTCTTTAGAAAATGCGTACTTGACGTAATTAAATAGACTGCGCCCTGAGCGGACTAATTAAATTATCCCCCGCCGGGACCAAAACCACCACGACCTCTGCATTTAGAAGACGTGTTCTAATTATATCTTGAAAGCTTCGGACGCCATCTTTAATATTTAGATGGATAAGTGGTGAGAGTTTGATTGGGTTTCTTTTTTTTGTCAAATCGTATTTGCAATCTTTAAGGCTTAAATGAGTATATGATAAGTGATATTTATGAATCTATAAAACTTCTTCGTGTATTTCTATTATATGTTAAGGTCATGAATACTTTTAAAAGTTAAAGGAGTAACGTCGAGTTTTTCGACGTTTCTTTTCGTTTGTTTCATGATTTTTATTTAAAAACTGTTACTAAATGTAACCTTACCTGCATTAATAAATATTTTTTTATATTCATTATCTTTAAAAGGACTAAGAAATCTATAGCTGTCTTCTATTTAGTACTGAGTAAAATTAATTTTGATGTTATATAATATACATTTTTGAAAAAAATAATATTTTTTTTATTATTATATTATATTATTATTTAAATTATAAATCGATTTTGGATTAAAAATTTACGACACGGGCTTGAAATGGCTTTCACAGGTTAGATATAGGTATCTTAGTTTTTTAATTTATAATTACCATATAGGTTTTATATATACCATAAATAATATTGCAATGTATATGCTCTAAGTGTGTATGATAATCTTTGTATTAAAATATATACTTGACCAGAAATATGTTATAAAGAAGAATGTAAAATCGATATCTAAGATAAAAATAAGTTGACAAATTTATGTTAAATTACGATTGATTCATTATTTATCTGAACCCTGACCTTTAGACAAATTCAATTCTTAATCGAATTTAAATAGAGTCCATTTCAGAAGTTGACCTTCACGATATCAAAACATTGATTGAGACAGCCCCCGAAGTACTAAGTTGAGTGGAATCTTAACATTTCACGTCTGACAGATTATTTGAGTGGATCGCTTGTAAAGTAATGAAGTAAGCCCCAAATTGTATTATCCCTTAGAAATGTTCAAAACAAATAAATGTTAACTCCTCTTAGCGTCAATTTAATGGGGTAGACTGGTAAAACCAATAATTAAAGTTGTAAATAAAGATATTTTTAAACAATTCAAAACAGTTTGGAGCAGCCGACTTTGTGAAGCGATTTTATGTAACATAAGGTAATACTGTCCGTAGTTTACGCGAGTGGTGCATATGTAAGTAAAACAGTTTAACGGTTTAAAATGCGAAATATATTAGTTAAACTTGTTTAAATTATTTTAAGTACGGCCCATGGTTTCGGGAGACACGGTTACTGCAAAACTTCCCAATGCTGCTGTTTGAAACCGTTATAGTGTTTTATTTAAATAAGTTACTTAGGTATACTATGATAGAAAATTAACCTAATTTTTTTATTCAAATTCAATTTTCATAGTCTCCAAAACTCTGAATAACTTTTGAAATACGATTATACAATATAAAGCTTTTAAAATGTATAAATAACACACGTTCTTTATTGGGTTTTCTTTCAAACGTAATAAACAAAGAAACTTTATATAATATCCGTTTCCCGTATAAATACGGAACCCCGATCACATTTCCTTCTTTTACTGGTACCATTCAGAGAGAGGTTATTTTATATGGGCTGTAAATCTTATAATATAGTGTTGAATATGGCGGACCGGGTTTTCATAGCAACTATCAAACGCTATTTTTACTAATAGCGCGCCCCCTGGTGTTATCCGCACTGACTATAAAATTTTTAATAAAATTGTTATCTATCATAAATTTATATGAAATTTGAAAGAGGATACGATAACTCCCCCTCCTATGCTTTTTACATCTATAATCACACCAAATGTCGAGTTTGAACGATCATGGATTTAGCCTGTGTTTTTGTTTTTTAATAACACTGTACACTGAATTCACTACCTCAGCCCCGTATTATGGCTTTAGATACTCGGAACTTTTTCATCTGTAGACGGTGGTTTTTTCCCCCCGGGGAAGGAATTTCCCCCCCCCCCTTTAAAACCCAAATCCCCCCAAAACCCCCCCCCTTTTTTAAAAAAAAAAAAATTTTTTTTCCCCCCCAACCCCCCCGGGGGTGTTAAAAAAAAACCCCCTTTTTTTTTGTTTCCCCCCCCCCCCCCCAAAACCCCCCCCCCCTTTTTTTTTCCCCCCCCCCCAAGAAAGAGGGAAAACACCCCCCCCCAACCCCCCCCCCCCCGGCCCCCCCCCCCCCCCCCCTTTTCTCTTTCTCCCCCCCTTTTTTTTTTTTTTTTTTCCCCCCCCCCCTTTTTTTTTTTTTTTTTTGGGGGGGGGGGGGGGGGGGGGGGGGGGCCGGCAAGTTAATCTTAAAAGATAGACTTATAGTACCCGGGACATTTTTGTTAGATCGCTTAAAGAGGAATCATTCCAAGATTTTTTTTAGGTAAATTGAACCGTTTTTTTAATACACAATAAAAACCCACAGAGATGAATATTTTCCCTCGTTTTCTCTACATTTCCCACCGTCTCTTTGCTCCTATTAGTTGCAGCGCGAAGTTTTAAAGTCTACAACCTTCCTCATTTTCATTTCAAACCAGTAGTTCCTGAGATTTGCCCGTTCAAAGAAACAAACCCTTCAGCTCTATATTGGTATAGTTATATAGGTCAAGCAAATGAAAGGGATCGGTTGATGCATTTGGGCCGATTCAATTCTCACAGGAAATCATTGCGGCTGAAGGAACTCGATTCATTATTGTCTCTTCGTCTATTTTTGTGGGCGAAATTGATTGTGTGACGTATTTCTATCGTGCAAATCGTCGGGGGCTTTCGATCTTCAATTTAGCGGTGGACGTAATGTGTTGTCCCTTCGTTCAACAGATTTTAACATAAATCTGTAGCGATTTCTTTGGTGTGTTTTTCTGGTAACATATTTTTTTTAAATTTATAGATATTCTGTTAATGCTGGCTGATACACTCGTAAGTCTTACAAAATTATGAAATATTATTTTACAAAAAGATATTCACAAAATCACAACATTACGGGTTTTTCATTTTGGGAAGGTGGTAAAATACTATTTCTTAGTTGAATTGAATCTAAACGAAAGGAAAGAAACTGCACCATTTTGTTTAGTTATCCAAGTTGATCCGTACTATCGTCATTTTAATATATTAATATACTTTAAAATGTTTAAAACACGAATAATGTGCTGTATTTTAGATGTTTCTTTAGAGTAGTCTCTTCGGGTCTTTGATAGAAAATGTTATGTAACATTTAGCGTCTTTAATCAGCAAGAGTATTATCAGTTTATAAAGCAAAGTAATATCAATAAAAATGTTATTATCCTTCTAGGATGTTTTGCAGCTACGAATAAAACTATTCAAATGTGATTAAAAACTAACAAAGTTTTAACTGTAACTATAGAAAACCCACGTCAAAATGTTCTTTTGTATTGAGTTATATATTTAGAAATAGGGTGTGGTCTCCCAAAAACGATATATTTTATTTAAAGCTTTAGTTTTACGTTTCAATATATTGCAGACGAAACGTTGATAATATATTACACAGATATAGTAATATCTATGATTTATAAGCTCTATTTATGGGCTTAGGTGTGTAATACTATTGGCCTGTCAAGTTGACAAGTGACAATAAAACGGTATAAGTTGCTATTGCGTTCGGACACAATCTTATTAAATGAGATCCGAGAAGGACGTTAGTCTAGTAAATTGTAATTTGTTACTTACAATGACTTAATAAATGTTAAATGTGAATAATTATTTTACTTAAACCATATATTAGTTAACAGTATATTAGAGTTATATTATATATATTAGTTACACTAATGTGTAACTAATATAGTTTAAGACTTAACGTTTATAGGAGACCAGGGCCTAATGTCAGAAATATATAAAGCTCATTGTTGAAGCAGTGTCGTTTAAAGCCATTTCTATGAAACAAAATCTCTTAGACAGAAACTGGGTCAAGCCTATTTCAGTTATAATGAAATGTTGCCATAACACTCATAAATTTCCAACAAATGAATGAAATAAAAGTCTGTGCTGATGATCTCATTAGGAGTGCTTGTCGTGACAATAAATGTGGCGAATGCGCTAACTGGCGTAGACTAAACGGGGCTGAAAACATTTAGTGAGTCTATGTATATGTTTTGCTAGTCTATGTATAATGTAATGTATAAATATATGCTGAAAGTTCCTTGTGACGACATGATATTAAAAGAATTCCTAATACTGGAATGAGTTAAATAACTTAGGAAATATATTTTCACTAGCTGTGTCAGCGACTTTATCCGCAAAGAATAATTATTTCAGCATCTCAATAATTTATAGCTGTCACCCACGACGTTGTACGCGTCCGGTCGTTTTTGCAAGTTAATTTTAAAAGATAGACATATGTTGTTCGCGGAATACTGAAAATAACCACTTACAAAACTAAACTACTACTCCAAGTATTTTTTTTGCAAGTACAGCTTAGTATAATGAGAGGTTCTTTTATTAAAAAATCTGTATAAAACATCAGAACTCACTAAATGCAAAATGCAAATCACGACCAAACTAATATCAAAAGCAAATCTAGTTATTATTAAATACTGTCTATAGTTTACGCGAGTAGCACACATTTAAATAAAACAGTTTAACGGTTTAAAACGCGATATATTAGTTTATTACTAAGAGATATATTAGTTCTTAATTATAACTAATATATCGCGTTTTAAACCGTTGGAGTATTTTATTTAAACGAATTATTATTTAGGGCTGTTATATTTTTATACTGCCTATCTAGCATTGTGTTAAGCACTAGAGGCATGGTTTCGAATCCCGGGGAGACATTAAATTGTCAGGCAAGGTATAGAAGTCTAATCAACTTGTCTGAGAATATAATCAATATGTCTTGTCTGTATATATATCGATCTGTCAGTGAAACGGAGTCCGAATATTGTTCAGCCTACGCTCACGTGTCGAACAAGACTTTATATACATTTATTATATTCAGCCAACACCGCGGGGCACAGCTAGTCTCGTTTCGTAGTTAGCCACGCTACATTTTGAAGATAATTCTCATTAGCATATCTAATTCGAACTAGTTTCCCATTTCCCGATCGTTAGTTTTATCTCTAGATGGCTCTTTTTTCCTTCAGCCAAATCGCTCTAGGGTCTAAGTATTCTTTTTATGTCTTTTCCTAAGAGAGGATATTATGAAAATTGTTTTTATGCAACACTTCCTTTTTCGGTTTTTTTCAATGGAAATATACGTAGATCTTCTGGCATATAAATGTTAAAAGCTTAGTTACATGTTAGGTATAAATAAAATGTGCTTGATTTCTCGAAAAGAAGAAATAGGTTTTATAAAATTGTCTTAAAGAGACACTTTATTACATAATTATTTGTAAGTAATACACATTTAACAATACTATAATTTTTTTATTAGTTAAACTTATTTAAAAAATGATTTTTAGCGTTGGCCCGACGTTTCGGATGCTTTGCAGCAACCGTGTAAGTTTAACTAATATATCGCGTTTTAAACCGTTAAAGTGTTTTATTTTAATGTGTACTACTTGCGTAAACTATAGACAGTATTTGACCCGTTGTTTATTGGCCACACTTAGCTCTCATAAGACCAACAAACCCGTCCCGTTCGTTTAAAAAGTTCCCCATTTCAAAAAACTTAATTAAAAATATTTCTATTTAAACTAACATAAGTAGCTTGCCCTTTGAAGCTAAAAAATGAAATATCATCTAATTAAATATGACGACATCTAACCTCTACGTTTTGCTCCTCACAAAAACACCAAAACGCGAAGAGAAAAGTAATTGAAAATGTTATTTTCATCAAAACTCGCGAGTATATTTTACTTTGTCATGAAATTCGAAAACTAGGACAAAAACTTCCCTTTGCGCTTAATGCGCTCCTAATGAACCTTACTAAAATAACGTTTTAGAATGAATGTTGAAATGCGAATTCGAGGTAAAATAATAACCTCATTTAAAAAACGAAAATAAATTGAAAAAATTTTCGACTCGGGCAGGACTTGAACCGGCAACGTCAGCGTTCCGTGCTGTTGCTCTACCAATCGAGCTACCGAGTCCTAAATCGATTGGTAGAGCAACAGCACGGAACGCTGACGTTGCCGGTTCAAGTCCTGCTCGAGTCGAAAATTTTTTCAATTTATTTTCGATTTTTAAATTATATAGTGCCTTCATGTGCAATAACATGTGAAAAACATAATTTCAAAATAATGACCTCATTATACCGGGAGACGATTACGGACGGGCTCGTGTAATGGTAGCAATGCATGGCTGGTAATCGACGGGTCGTGGTTCCACCCCCACTGAGTTCACCATTTTCTGATCACTTAAATAAAACACTTTAACATTCTAAAATTATTTTAACTAAGGCCACGACGTTTAGGATGCTTTGCAGCAGCCGTGGTAACGGGAAGACAACTTATATATATATCGCGTTTTTATACTGTTAAAGTGTTTGTTTTTCATTTCAGACAGTAATTGTGATTAATTTATATTTTTTCTGAAACATGTAGCTAGTTAAAAAAAAAACAAAGTAAAGGGCCGGCCCTACTATCCAAAAGTGCTGAACGATGAAATTATAATGAACTCGAGCCGGTCATTTTTCCGCCGAAATTCATAGAGTTCAACCTAAGTACTTTTTAAGTACAGTCGAGTGCAAAAAGCATTTAAGATTATATTTAACTATTGTTCTTTCAACTATTACTTCTTATAGAAGATTATACGTCATTGCCCGAGAATTATTAATTTAACTTGTTTAATTTAAATATGCACTAGATAATTAAATGTATTGAGGCTTTTCCACTTACTGTACTTGGATCATAATATAATAAAATAACTAAATAAAAGAGTAAAAAAGTGTGACGTATTTATCCATGTATCATTTTTTGGAGCAACAGCCCACGGCGCCTTAGTTTGTCAAACACTGGTCTTCAAACCATCTTGGGCTAGGTGTATCCAAATTCTAAGCATCGTTAAGAATTGTCTGTTACGATTTTAATTGAGATTACGCAAGTAGTATACATTTAAATAAAACACTTTAACGATTCAAACTGCAAAATATTAGTAAGTAGTAATTAGAATTTTAAAAAGCTTTAGAGCAGCCGTAGTCACGGGGGACCTATGTTGGATTCCATAATGTCAAAACCAAATCTTCTACGCTAGCGCCATCCGCTTTGCGCAAGCTAGCAAAGTCCTTATAGAACTGACTCTCTGTGTTATTTCGACGTTATTGCAAGGAATTTTAGTTACTTGAAACAGGTATTGTGATTAGACCCTTGAAATGAGTGTTGGTATACCCCTGACTTCGGATGGTAGTTAAGGAAATAAAATATATGTTACTCAGTGATAATGTAGCTTTGTAATGAAAAAAAGAATTATTAAAATCGGTCCAGTACTTTTTAAGTTTATCCGTTACATACAAAAATACAAATCTTTCCTCTTTTTAATATTAGTATAGATTAGCGTTTGAAGCAGTTATAAGTGGTTTATTTAAATGTTTGCATATTGTGTGTAATTTGTATAAGTGCCGCAAAAAGTTATATACGGCTAACATCCGATCGCAGTTAAAAAGGTAACAAATAAGTTCTAATATATTTCGCGTTTTAAACCGTTAAATGTGTTTTTTAAACTCAAACAGTGGTTCTTTCTCTGTTCTTTATAAGCAGCATAAGACTACCATTTAAAAAGAGCAGGCGGCCATCTCGTTAGCCCGTTGCTATTTATATAGAAGATGTGGCAACGCAGCCTAATGAGACTTTTATTTATAAAGTTGCCCCAACAATGGGGACTTTAGCGTTGCATTGTGCCATTGTTACAATTCATTTTAAACCGGGATTTGCGGTGTGCCACGTGAATTGGAGTCTGGTTGTGAAATAAGGGGGCTCGTTAGTGGACGTGTACTCTTCGCTGGTGGATAACACGATATTTTGATATTCAAATTGTCATCTTACTACATTATTGTTCGAGGGCGTGGTGGGATTAAATTGTTTTGTTTCTATCAGTACGTGACTTGTAAAACAACTGGTCTGCTGATTTAAAAAAAGGAAGAAAATATTCCCTTATCTTTTTTTGTAATAAGTATATAAATAATTACCTGTCTAACTGTCTTCGCGGCCATTTTGTGAAGCTTTTCGAATAGTTTCGACATCGAAATTCAGAATTTTGTACCGACGTTTTACCATCGCAAGTAGTTGAACGGACTGAATTAGTTTCTTGTTGGTGTTGTTTGTGTTAACTTTTAATTATAAAATATAATAAACTGTACTTACCGTTTTATTGCCTAAATTCTTAACTCGACAATTCAAATAGGCAGTCTTGCCCAGCAACGCCGTGACATTTTTGGACGCGGCGAGGTCAAAGTGTGGCCCCGTCCTGGGCGTGGGCCTAGGGGTCTCCATGGCCCCAGACCGGATAGCATTATCGGCGGCTGGTGGTGCGGTCGCTGATGTGTTGCCTTTGCCCAGCTCCCGTTGGGCGGAGGATACTGAAAAGATTTGTGAATTCAATTATTTTGTAATTTCACTTTTACACAATATTTACATTCGTGAGATATTAAATGCGCACATTTCTGAGTCTGTTAGGCTGTTTTATTTATTTATATGCAAGGAGGTGATTAAGCTTACGTACAGTTGCGAAATGTTTTTTTATACTTTTTCTAGTTTACTACGAATTAAAATCATTTTTGTAATCTATATTTAAAAAATATCTTTCTAAAACGTAAATAAAGAGTGCGTTCAATGACTAAAGAAATTGGATTAGATTCAAGGTCATATATATAACACTAATTTAATTTAATTAATAATAAAATATATTTTGTAAGTCGATACGTTGCATCCTTTAATATCAATGTTTGATTTCAATACTTTCCATTCTTACAAACTTAAAAAGAACTTTTAATAATTAAAAAAATAAATAAAACGCTAGTGAAGTATATAACTGTATTAATCTTGGTGTATATTGATGTCATATTTGTAATCTTTATTTCAAAATTTTTGAATTCTTAATCGAAAAGAAAACTTATAATTTCTAAAGAAATTATATTAAGTTCAAGGCTATTCTATAGACTTCAATTTACAATTTGAACTGTGTGACTTTGTGTTGAGTGTGAGATAAAGAATATTTTATGTGAGACCGGGTCGAGAGGTCTTCAGTGTCTATCGCGTGTAAGTCATTGTGGGATGGCTCTTGTCAAAACCGACCTATCATCAGGATATCAGCATCGCCTTTTAACCCTCTTATCTGAACTATGGCCTGAAATATTGGTCCTATTCAACCTATTTTAAGATTCGTATGTAACGCGGTTCATTGGTTTACGATATGTATAAACAGGTCACCGGTTCGATCCCTACCGGGTCTGTGTAGATTGGTTACCAATCTGGATATTATATGGGTGGTAGAAATATCGAAATTCCGTCCGGGTCACTAACCACCAACCATCCACTAATGAAAAGCTAAAAAGCGGGTAATCACGCTTCGGCTTCAGTTTATACATTTCTTATTACTGAAAGACAAAGTAGATCGACAGCGCTTCTCGTTGAGATGTTATGGGTATCATAAATTAATGACGGCATCAGATTTTTTTAAATATCTAAACATCTTGACCTACGTGTCGTATATATGAAAATCCACAGACTGAAACTGGAACGCAGGTTTACATTTCACGGCTTTTCCATTTTTCGTTGTGTGAAATAGATGAGTGAAAGATTTAAAAAAAAATAACTATCAATTTTGGTCATTTATATCCTATTTTTCAGTGCTTATAATGTTACATATTTTATTGCGCGATCCATGTATGTGATATTATAACTCAATAAAATTAATTAAATAATTTATAGTCCAAGAGATGGTGACGAAAAATATATTTTTTATATTTTTATTTAAATTAAGTATTTTATATAAAAGTAAAACATATTTTATAAACTTATTTGAAAATATTAACACTTCCCTATTAAAATTCAAAACGTCGGAAGTTAAAAATATTTTCAAATATTATAATATATCTTTTAATTAAATTTTTTTTATTATTAAACATATTTACTTGTACTAGGCATATGTTGTAATGTTGTAACTTATAACGTCAAATATAGACAAAGAGCTGATTATCGCCGTTACATCATCAGCATCAATTGAACTCATCAATCAATTTATCTCGCGCTGTCAACAAAATTGAAACGCGAATGTGTGTCAAGTGGCTCTATTTGCTAATAAATGAGGCGATTTCATTACGGAGTGATGGAAACGGGTTAATGACCAACTCGTCAACTGACTAACGAGTGTCGCCTTGATACTCCAAACGTGGGCCTTTGTGCCACCAAGTGCGCCTTGTCGAAATGTGCCCTAGATGCGGCGGAATATTGTGAATTGTGTACCGAGAATTTAGATCAATACTCATATAAGGTGTATAAGTGTCGGGGATTAGAATTTAGAATGTGCCGACGATAAAAAGATAATACAAAACTCAAATAAAAACGAATAAATTGCGATAAAAATATGATGTCTAGATAGTTACTAAAATTTGTATTCTCATATATAGAGACATGTATAAGAAAAAAAAACTAAAGATATAGAATACAAGAAAAATATAAATATCTAAAAAAACTCGTAAATAAGAGAGTCAGTGCGTTTCTTCTTTTGAATTATTAATGTCCTTCATTTGAGAATAAATATAAGTGGAAGTATTATTAAAGTTATTAAATCTTACTTATATTTAAATAAAACATTTTTTAAACCAATGGATATCGCATTTTAAACCGGTAAAAGTGATTTATATAAAAGTGCAAACTTGCGTAAAACTACAATCAACACTTTTTGACGTAAACGTATGATTTACATGAGTAAATGATTTTAAATGGAATTTATCATATATTTCTTTTTTAACTGATGTATTTCTAACTCCACGCCAAATATCTAACAAAAATATAGAGCATAATGCGTCACGCACTTATGTGAAGGTCGACTATTATAACATAAACCGTCCCAAAGTCCAATATTTGTTCAACATCGCGTCGGCCATGCTTTTGGGCCGAGGGCTTTTAGCGAAATATACTAAAACATTAGTTATATAACGGAAAACTTTGTTTTTGCTGGAAGGCTGTTGTTATATTATTAAGAGAGCCAACTAAGTGGAAATTTTTATAAAAATTGTTTGACATTAACAAATATTGTTGTATTATTAAAATAAACCACTTTGAAAATTTTTTGAAAATTATTTTAACCACGGCTTGACGTTTCGCAAGCTTTGCAGCAGCACGGGAAGACTAGCGTTCCGTACAGTAGTTAAAATAAGTTTAAGTAATACATATCGCGTTTTAAACCGTTAAAGTGTTTAACTATAATTACAAACAAAACTCTATTCAAACCTCTTGTACGTTCAGAAATTTGCCATCGCAGACTTTGTATACAAGAAATTAAATAATTAAATTTAGACTTTTTCCGATTATACAATTTTTTATTTCTTTTAAATCTCCTAGACTTCTCAAATATTATTACAAAAATATTATTCACGAAATATATTGAATAAACAAAGACGAAAAAGATTTTCTAAGCGTCGTTATTTTGAGTTCGCTACGACGGAAATAAGAAAACTTGCAAAGAGGTATAAAAGTTTATAAATGCACTCAGCACATGTGTTCCTAAATGTATTATTTTGGAGAGCAAATAAGCGAGACCCGTGTAAACTCCGATATTCGAAACGTATACCTGGAGATAATTTTATGTATTCCGTATACATCCGCTTGCCGGCGCATTGCATACTAATTGTGTGTGTTTTTTACATAATCTGTATTTTTTTCGTGTACATATACAGACGTATATATATATTATAAGTAGTGTACTATTAAGTTTAAAAAAAAAATGAGATTATTATTATTTTCAAATAATTTTGAGATTCAGTGTTTTTTGTTACCCTGTGATACTTAATCTATACTGAAGAAATTTGTAAGACTCGTTTGAAGCGCTAATCTCAGGAATTACTGGTTCGAATTGAAAAATTTTTTAAAAAAGGGTTTAAAACATTTTTGTCTAATAGAAGCGACGAAACAGCGGGGAATTTGGTTTTTTTTTTTTTTTTTTTTTTTTTTCTTCTCCTCCGAAAAAAGGGGTTTCGGGAGAAAAATTACCGACCAGAGAATGATTCTTCTTTATATTATAATTTCACTTGGCACTTTTGGATGCACAAAATAACTATTATCCGCGAAAAAAGTCGCTGGCTGGGCGGGGCCTCTTTTTTAAACCATTTTTTTTTTTTTAAAATTCTATTTAAAAATTATTTAACCTTCCAAAACCCCTTTTTTTAAAAAACTTTTTTAACCCTTGCTTTTTGTTGTCAAAAACCCCCCCCATTTTTCTTCTTTTCTTTTCCCTCTTCCCCCCCCCCCCCCCTTTTTTTTTCCCCCCCCCCTTTTTTTTTTTTTTTTTTTTTTTGTTTTTTCCCCCCCCTTTTTTCTCCTTCCTCCCCCCCCCCCCCCCCCCCGGGGGGAACACGCGGAAGGGGTACTTTGTATGAAGTAATAATTGACTTTTTTTATATTCCTTTATGATAGAAGAAGACAAAGACAATAGGTAAGATACCACAGCCATATAAAATTTAAACAAGATGTGCTGCCAAGTGATTTTATATTTTACTTTAAACCCCCCGGTGGGGGGGGTTTTTTAATTTTTTTAAAAAAAAGGCCCCCATACCCCACCTACAATTTTTTTTTTTTTTGCTATTCGGAAATGGTGAAACGGTCGTTCGTCACCGGACCGATATTCTCCGGCCGGTTCGGTATTCTACTTCCCATTTAATGGTAAAATTTCCAGATGAGGTCCCAATTAATTGTTTAAAATATTATAAATCGTTTAGAAAAATATTGTATCCGATGGGAATGGAACCTGCAACCCGTTCCTTATATTATAGTAGCCATACATGGCTACTAAAAAACCTATAGATAATTTGTACTGTATACGTGTGATATATCTTTTTTTAGATAAAAGAACAAGCATACAAATCCATTTGATATACTTATAATAATATATCTCCACTCTTTTTAAAATGCAATGTTAACTTAATTTTATTTTGGACATCTAGATATCCATATCATGGAACCAAAAAGAGATAAATGATTTAGGAATTTTAAATGTATCTACAAGTTATTAAAGCACAAAATATACTTATCGAATATCTTCTTTTTGCATTCATAATATTACTGTACTTGTAGATCGCGTTCTAATGGATTAAGTAAGTATTTGAACGCATATTGGTGATCGTCTTTGATCACCTCAGCACAAAGAAATGAGGTTAAAAGTAAAAAATGTCACTACACAAGCAAAAAAAGTTCATCGCGAAAGTGCCAAAGTTTTAATGTTTGCCTCTCAACCTACTGCTTCTTCATTACACAAAGAGGTGTGCCATTTTCAAGAAAACAGCTAAACGGTTTATTGCTTGCGTTTTTCCAGGTTTCCTTTTGAACACCAATCCTGATTCACAAGGCCAGAAAAGAACTGACTTGTGTACTGTCTGTTGTTTACGAGAAATTATTAAATAGAACACTTTAACGGTTTAAAACGCGATATATATTAGTTAAACTTATTTTGACTCAGTCAATCCTGTAAGGACCTGGCCAGTTTCGGCAAATACCTACTTCGAAGAAACAGATGGCGCTAGCGTAGCATCCGAAACGTTAAGCCAGAGTTAAAATAATTTTCAAATAAGTTAGACTGATATATATCGTGTTATAAATCGTTAAAGTGTTTTATTTTAATAAAGATGGAAATTTTCGTCCCATGATTCGACGTAGAGCACAGAAGCTTTTCTCGTTGTTGACCAAATAAATTGTGTAGTCATTCAGTATTTTGCTGAAAAGAACGAATTACCATATCTCTTGAAGATGACACTAAATGAATAAGCCACTTAACATCCTTGCGAAGCGCTCACAAATATTTTTACGTTTTCTGTCTTTCGTATTGTAATCATCGACTTAGAATCAATTAAAATGTCTTCACCAGGGATCCGGGAGAGAGAGGCGAACTGCGAAATCTTCCATTAATACTCAAATACAGAACTCATTGAAAATTAATTTTCTCTTTCGTCTTTACAAACGGGCACTGTTTGTGATGTTAACCTCATTTCAAAAATGACATTCTGAAACATTCCGCTGAATAAAATATTGTCAAGTTTTTCAATTTCCCATTTTGCTGTCTGTAACTTTTGGAAGTGTTGAAAAATGGTTTGAATATTTAGTTAGTTTGAGAACAACACAATTATATTACTTTTCTGCGACTATTATGTTACATTTTTAAGTAAATAAGATATATCCAAGCTTAATGAGCTTATAGATGATATTTGTAGTTTACGCAAAGTGTACGCATTAAAAAAATACTTAACGGTTTAAAACGCGAAATATATTAGTTCACTTATTTTAAATACGGCCCGACGTTATCTTCCGAATGCTTTGCAGCGGCGTTATAATACGTTTAAAATGTTTGACTTAAAAACTTAGTGTGTGTGTTATTAATTCTAGTCGCTTATCTGGGTTTCTCTTATCTTATCCTATAACATAGTATGGACCTACTGCATCCCATACTTATATCAATACATTCCAGTTGTAGGTAACCCTATGTAGAAAAAGTTGAAAAAAAATATAGTCTAGGTTAGTTTTTCTATAAGTTCATATTTTGTATGTTATTATTTTGTCTTGTTTGATATTAATAAGCCTGCACCTACGCGATTCAAACCTGTAGTAATTTCTTCCCACAGATAGGTGTCGGAACAGGAAACGGACATTATTTGTCACTCCCGTGCTCCCACCGCAAGCCCTTTAAATTGTTTGACAATATTTGCATTTCATTCAGTTTTTTTCATTCAAGGTAGGTGTATTATGAATTATATTTAATAATATAAATAAATAAATATTACATAAATTGAAATTCTTAAAAAAAAATGCAAAGTCAGATTTCATCTAAGATCTAAAAAAAATTCAAACAGTTAAGGGGCTTTTTGGTAAATTATGAGTAATAGTCTCCGGGTCGTGAGTTCGATCTCCACCGGATGAAACATGTTTCTAATCAATTTATAACTTTTACGAAACATCTTAAATTTCGCACTATTATACTAGATTTACATGCCCTAATTTCTTTGCAATTATTATCTGCATTCATTACGAAAAACTCTCACGAATAAATAAAATTAATCAGGACATTTGCGCTGTATTAAATTGCATTGACCGGAATTATAATGAGATGGAATCAACAATATAAAGTCGCTTCACTGAACGATGCATAATTATTGTCAAAGTGGAACAAGAGATCTGATCTTATTAAATCTTCATGGTTTGTTCGGAGCTCGATATTTATTGTATTGTATTGATAAATGAAGTTTTGGTTTAATAACTGTAAATTTAAAAAATAATTACTTTTAACGGTTTAAAACGCATAATATATTATTTAAATTGATTTTCAATGTATTTTAATATTGGCCCGAAATTTTGGCTGGTAAAGTAAAGTGTAATTAAGTTTAACTAGTATATTTGGCGTTTAAACCGTTAGAACTGTTTTATTTAAATTTATACTACTTGCGTTAACTACAGACTTTACTCGTTATGTCTAGTATCGTTATGATATTATGTGTCATTATTATGTAATTATATTAATCATGTATTATATAGTATTAAGTATTATCTCTAGTTTATGCAAACGCACACGGTAAAAGAGACACTTTTAACGGTTTTAAACGCCTAATATAATATGACGATGAGACGATTTGCCTTTGACATTTTGGGTTGACATATTATTACCATCGTCACCACAAAATATGCTGCAGAGCATCTAAAACTTAATAAAAATAAAAAAAGTTAATATACATTTAAAGAAAGTTTATTTTAAGTAAAATATTTTAAAACTATATTATGAGACAGAACTTTTACTCGCAACAACTGAACTACAATATCACTAACCGTTTCCTATTATTTTTATGTACCCAAATATAATGTTTCTTATATTATAATTACGTGTCCAACTGTTATCCTCAAAGCAAAAGCTATTTTCAGCTTCAGACGGGACAAAGCATCTAGACTTCTTATTATTATGTAAAATACATTTGCTGACTGGATTAGTGGTAATCAAACTTCTTCAGCGTATTATAACTTTACTTGTTTCAAATTCGTGACACAATATTTAGGCAGTCATGAATAATTTTACGGAATCATGCTCTGCTATGTATTTTGCGCTATTTTGGTTATGTATCGCTTTTGTCATAAGCCATATTATGATAGAATATTCCTTAAGGAAAAACAAAGCGTTGATTGTAGTTAGAACCGTTTGAAACGTGAAATATATTCGTTATTCTATTTTAACTGCAATTCGACGTTCCAGATGCTTTGCAGCCGCAGACAGGAGGGGACTAAAGAAAAAAGAAAAGCAGGCCAAACGTCGGGTCATCTTTAAAAATAAGGTAATATTTAATTTTTAAAAATACTATATTCTTATTCTTTTAGACCAGTACATTTATTATATATTTCCAAGGATTTAAACCAGAAATTTTCTAACTCTAGTTTTTTATTTTCTAAATATTTAATTAGGGACAAAAGGTCTAGAGTGATTTCTAGATGTACTGTGCTTTTAGCCGAGCATATCTATTTAAATGCGCCCCCTTTAAGAAAACAGTCTTTTAAAAGGCTATATATTGTGTGCTATTTTCTTGACCTGCTAGAGTAGAAATCAGTACAACATTCAATGTGGATACAATATAACGGACTAGGTCATCAGTTACTCACT